GTTTTGTTGTTTTTTAAGAAAAACAAACAAAAACAAATGCAATCTCCAACAATAAAGATTGTTCCATCCATTATAGAACATCCATAAGGAATACCATGTGGCCATTATACATCCTTTTTTGCTTTTTTTTTTTTTTGAATTGGAATTTCACTCTGTCACCCAGGCTGGAGGACAGTGGCATGCTCCCGGCCACCACAGCCTCAACCTGCTGTGCTCAGGTAATCCTTCCGCCTCAGCCTTCTAAGTAGCTGGAACTACAGGTGCGCACCACCATGTCTGGCTAATTTTTTTATTTATTGTAGAGATGAGGTCTCACCAAGTTGCCCAAGCTGGTCTTGAACCCGTGGGCTCAGGCATTTCTCTTGCCTCGGCCACCCAAAGTGTTGGGATTATAGGCATGAGCCACTGTGCCTAGCCTTCTTTCTTTTTTTGAGTTGGGGGTCTCACTCTGTCATCCAGGCTCAAGTGCAGTGACCTATCACAGCTAACTGCAGCCTTGACCTCCTGGGCTCAGGATGCTGCTGCCTCAGGCATTTTTGACCATTAGTTCAAACAAAGCATGTATGGAAACACAACATATGAAATAGATTAAGAAAAAAATAGACCAGGCTCGGTGGCTCAGCCTATAATCCCAGCACTTTGGGAGGCTGAAGTGAGAGGATTGCTGAGTCCACGGATCTGAGAATGACCTGGGCAACTTGGTGAGATCTCATCTCTACAATAAATCAAAAAGTAGCCGGGAGTGGTAGCGCATGTCTGTAGTTCCGGCTACTTGGAACGCTGAGGTGGAAGGATCGCCCAAATTCAGCCAGAATCCAGCAGGTTGATGCTGGGGAGGCCATGAGCATGCCAGTGCACTTGAGCCTGGATGACAGAGTGAGACTCCAACTCAAAAAAAAGAAAAAAGAAAAAAAAGGTATTGGAAGGAGAAGGCAACTCCAGAATGTCTCATGGGCAGCCATCTGCAGTGGTTTATGAGAGGAATTAGGAAAATATTCATAATACATTAAGAGAAAAAAATATACTTATCAAAACAGTATGTACAGCATTTCCCTAATTTTATGAGGTATATATTTGAATGTACAGTTCGCTCCTCATCTGTGGGTTTCAATTCTGTAGATTCAACCAACTGCAGCTGGAAAACATTTGGGTTAAAAAAAAAATCTGTTCTGAACATGTACAGACTATTTTTCTCATCATTATTCTCTAAACAATACAGTATAACTACTATTTGCATAGCATTTACATTATATTAGGTATTGTAAGCAATCTAGAGATGATTTAAAGTATACAGGAGGATGTATGTAGGTTATATGCAAATACTGCATCATTTTATATAAGGAACTTGAGCTTCCTCAGACTTTTGTATCTGTGGGGAGTCCTGGAAATAATCCCCCAGGGATACAGAGGGACAACTGTAGGCAGAGTTAAAGACTGGAAAATTATACTTCAAGATATGGGCACGGGTTATTTCTTAATTTGAGGATTATGGGTGATTTTCAAATTTTCCCACATTTCCTACAATAAACAGGACTTATTATTATTATTTTTTTAGTTGGAGTCTTACTCTGTCGCCCAGGCTAAAGTGCAGCAGCACACTCAAGGCTACCGCAGCCTTGACCTGCTGGGCTCAGGTGATCCTTCTGCTTTAGCTTTCCAAGTAGCTGGAACTACAGGCGTGTGTCACCGTGCCTGGCTAATTTTTTGATTTATTGTAGAGATGCAGTCTCACCAAGTTGCCTGGGCTGATCTCGAGCCTGTGGGCTCAGGCAATCCTCTCACCTCGGCCTCTCAAAGTGCTGGGGTTGTAGGTATGAGTCACTGCGCCTGGCCTAGGAATTATTTTTGTATAAGAGATTATAAAAGCAAAACCCCTGAAAACATTATTTTTAAAAAGCAATAAATGCAAAAAAAGTATAATCAAAACATACTGTATAACGTTGAATACACATCCATTCTCATATGCAAAGTAAAAGAAGGAAATTAATTCAATGACTTGTGCTATGTGCTTTGATTAGAAGCCCTTGAGTATCTGTGTGGACAAGGGGCCATACTCTACTCTTCAAACTTCCACCTTGGATGGATATTGATGCTGTTTTCAGTTGGTCCTTAGAAAGTAGACTTTGGAAACAAACTATTGGGTTTGAATTCTGGTTCTGCTATTATTCATTGTTTTATCTTGGGCAAGTTACTTAATAGTGCTTAAGGTTTCCCAATTTATGAAATGATACCGTAATGTATGCCAAGAGGGAAGAGATGAGCCACTGGTGGTTAAAAAGATTTATTAAAGAAAAAAGAAGGGGGAATGGCTGGCTCTATAGAGAGAAACCAGCCCCCTTTGTTCTCTTGCAGGCCTCTTATATACCCCAGTTCATAAGGGAGTTTAGGCTTGGGCACCAAGAAGCAGTTTAGGGAGTTTTTGAGCTGTCTATTGCCTGGCCTTGAAATGCAGATGTTGTCACTGTTGAGGCTGATTCCACCGCCTTGAAGTGCAGATGTCTGCACTCAACCAGTCACTATCAGGGATGTTGTTAATCACTTGTCTCTGAAATGCAGCCCTAGGAAAGCAAACACTGACAGTCAGTACCAGGATGTTATCAGTCACCTAGCTTTGGGATGCGGGTCTGGGAAAGCAAATATTGGCAGTAAAGCAATTAGTATCAGGACACTGTTAGAGCACAGTGTTAGCTTTTGGGCAATTGCAACTCTGTGCTCCTTTTTGTGAGGTTTATATGATGAGTTGTTTTAACTACAACCTCTTCTCCCATCCCCCTACAAACGCTATCAGATACCTACCTTTCAGGAAGTTGTTAGGATTGAATAAACTCAATAAATATGCCTACATCAATGCCTGGTACTTGGTAAGTGCTCAATATTAGTTGTTGTGCTTTTTATTATTTCCATATCTTTAGAGTTATTTCCTTCCAAATTCTTGTCTCCCTTCCCCTCCCACAAAGATGACTGGAAATTCCGAAACTGTAGAAGAAAAATCATACTTTTTATTAAGATTCAGTTTCCCAAACGGGTCACTGGTTAACACAGTGCATATTTATTCTTCCTAGTTAAATTTAATGGCAACTATACCTTATTTTGTAAATATTTGTATGTTTTTATAGTATGATTTCTGACCCGAAATTATCTACATTTCGTGATTCACTAGAAGAACTTACAGTGCTCAGCGTATGATTGTACTTATGGTTATGATTTATTATAGCAAAAGGATACAGGGCAGAATCAGCAGAGGAAAAAGGCACACCTTATGGGATGAAGTCCAGAGTAAACCACGCATAAGCTTCTAAGAAGTCTTTCCCAGTGGCTTTACTTGGGATGTGCTTAATTCCTCCAGCATTGAGTTGTGAAAACGTGAAATATTTAACAGGGAAGCTCATTAGAGACTCAGTGCCCCGGGTTTATACTAAGGGTTGTTCATGTAGACACTCTCTGCCTAGCATGTACCAAAATTCCAGACTCCCAGAAGGAATACAGGAGTTTAACATAAACCATATTATTTGCAAAGTTTAAGCACACTAGACTGTTCTTATCATGCAATGGTGAGAACCGTCCAGAAATCTAAGTTCCCAGATGCCAGCCAAGGGCCAGCCTTGCAAACTGGCCTTCCTAAGGATAGCAATCTCAGGCCTGCTATGTTGATGCTTATCTTCGCAGCAGCATGTTATAAAATATATTTTACTTAAGAAACTAATGTCAACAAATCTATACATTTTAAAACAGCTTTATCGAGATACAGTGATCACATTATAAAATTCAGCCACTTAAAGTGTTCAGTGCAGTGACTTTTAGTGTATTTATTGAGTTGTGCAGTCTAATTTTAGAACATTTTAGAACATTTAGTCTCATCCTTCCTTCTAAAAACCTCTTGCCCATTAGCATTAGTTATTGTCTATTCCTCCTCCCCCTTCCCTGGCCTCTTCCCCAATCCTAGTCATCCACTAATCTACTTTCTGTCTCTGTGGAGCAAATCTATGCTTTCACATGCTTTCATTTTTATTTCATCTCTGTTATTACACAGCTTTGTAAGATGGTAATTAAACAATTATTCACAAGTGTTTCACTTCCAGTGTGTGAGTCAAGATTCAGAGTTTAAGTTTGTATGGTAGGTTTCCAAATCCAGAGCATTTAGGAACTGTAGTCATCATGAAAATGAATATTAATTACATAAATTGATGGTATTTAATGAAATAATTGATTATACAGGCCCTTGCCTTTGCAATCTTTGTTCTCACTTGTTAAAAGTATATTATATAATTGATTGAGGTTTACCAATAAGAATGTTGATATTTACTTGGTTGACATTTAGTCTGTTCATGGTTTTCTTTTGCTGTAAGATAGATAGGGACTCATGTAAAGAACTGGATGAAGTTGGGAGAGGTAGCTACACTGTTGCTATTTTGATATAGAGGGAAAAAGTATAGATTATTTGGAGGTAAAAGGCAAAAAGTCCTATTTATAATGAACAGCCATTATTTTTAACATCCTCTAACATAGGTGCAACATGCAAGAGTGAATAAAAACTAAATTTACATGTGAATGTATGTTGAATCAGAGGCTAAAAATTTCTTTTATTGCTGAAAATTTAAAATTTTATTTTATTTTACTTTTATATTTTTTGAGTTGGAGTCTCACTCTGTCGCCCAGACTGGAGTGCAGTGGCCGCTCCTGGCCACCGCAGCCTTGACCGGCTGGGCTCCAGCGCTCCTTCCGCCTCAGCCTTCCAAGTAGCTGGAACAACAGGCGCATGCTATCATGCCCGGCTAATTTTTTTGATTTATTGTAGAGATGAGGTCTTGCCAAGTTGCCCGGGTGGGTCTCAAACCCGTGGGCTCAGGCAATTCACTTGCCTCAGCCTCCCAAAGCGCAGGATTACAGGCTGAGCCATCGAGCCCAGCTGAAAATTTAAAATTTTAGAGCAAAGGTGTTTGTGTGTATTTTTATTTATTATTTCGGTTGAAATCCAGTTTTTCTGAAAATTGGGTTAGTAGACAAGTTGTACTTTAAACTGAGCACTATGTGAAAATGTTTGTTTTGTGATCACCATTAGTTATATAGGTCTTGACTAACCTTGGGTGTTTACCTGAATATCCAAATCTGTGTAAATTCTTATGCTTCTGAAATATTTTACTGTAATATCACATGTTTTTAATTAAGAGGGATATTTTTGGATGTTAGGAATTAACATATTATGCGATTTATTCTCAGGGACGAAGCACTAGCTCTCATTGTTACTCACATCCTTGTCTTTCAGGTAATCTAGCACGATGCTGCTATCCATAGGGATGCTCATGCTGTCGGCCACACAGGTCTACACCATCTTGACTGTCCAGCTCTTTGCATTCCTAAATCTATTGCCTGTGGAAGCTGATATTTTAGCAGTAAGTACAGTAAAATTTATTCATGTCTAAAAACACACCCAAGCAGGACATGGTGGCTCATGTCTGTAATCCCAGCATTTTGGGAGATAGAAGCGAGAGGATTGCTTGAGATAAGAGATTTGAGACCAGCATGGGCAACCTGGCAATACCTTGTCTCTTCAATAAGTGAAAAAAAATTAGCCAGGCGTGGTGGCGTAGACTGAGGCATAAGGATCGCCTGAGCTCAGCAGGTCGAGGTTGCAGTGGCTGTGCAAAAAAAACTCTAAAACACTCCTTAAAGAAAAGCTTTTAAAAAAGCTCTGGGCCGGGCATGGTGGCTCATGCCTATAATCCCAGCACTTTGGGAGGCTGAGGTGAGAGGATGGCCTGAGCCCACAGGTTCAAGACCAGCCTGAGCAACTTGGTGAGACCTCATCTCTACAAGAAATAAAAACATTGGCTGAGCATGGTGGCGTGTACCTGTAGTTCCAGCTACTTGGAAGACTGAGGCGGAGGGATCACCTGAGCCCAGCAGGTCGAGACTGCAGTAGCCGTGAGCGTGCCTCTGCACTCCAGCCTGGGTGACAGAGTGAGACTCCAACTCAAAAAAAAAAAAAGTTCTGAATGATGGAGTCTTGTTTTTACCTATAAACGTACCCAAACACAGACACAGTTATAAAAGTGGGATATCTTATTCATTTTTTAATTGCTTATTACCTAATATAAGATCTCATGCACCATAACTACCTGATAATGATGTTGCTTTTGAGAGTGTGTGTGCATGCATACCTACATGCTTGTGTATTTATGTAGATGCTTAGTGTTTTTCTTAGTACAGATATATTTGTAATGACTATAAGATCCTAATAGTATCTCTATTGATAATAATATTTAAAGAAATTTTACAAACTGTCCATAGAAAATTTCAGCCTAAGAATAGCATTAATGAGTCAGAAGAGAAACACAAGGTTCTATCTTTGATGGTGGCTAGAAAAGTTTTTGAGAAGATTGTTCCTTAAAACCTTAGTAGACCTCTCTAGGCTACCATCTTATTGTCTTCTACACTGGGAAGTATATAGATGGTCCAAGCTTAAGATGCTTCCGCTAGTGATTTTTAGACTGTACAATGGTATGAAAGCAATAAGCATTCAGTATGCTCCTTGACTTAGGTTGGAGTTACATCCTGATAAACTTGTCTTGAGTGGAAAATATTGCAAGTAGAATTTGACTTACAAAACACTTTCAACTTAGATATTTTCAATGAAGATGGGTTTATCCAAAAGTAGTCTCCTTGTAAGTCTCATTAAGGAGCATCTGTATCTATTTTCTAGTTCTTATTTTTGTGAAAATAGAGAAAGAGGAACTAACTCTGTGTGTGTGTGTGTGTGTGTGTGTGTGTGTGTGTGTGTGTGTGTGTGTTTGTGTGTGTGTTTCTCACCTGCTTTAGCAGGGAGCTGATTGAATAGGTTTGTTTTCTGGACTAGTCTGGATCTTTGAGACGAAGTAAAAGTAAATGCCTCACTCCTTTGTCCTCTTTATTTTGTACCTGGAATGGATTATTATTCCAGCTTTCTGATGGGTTCAGCGATTTTTCAGCGCACTGCTCTGGGAACTTAGGCAGCTGTGTGTCCCTGATCAAATTACTTAGCTGCTTTAAGTGCCTCAGTTTCTTTATTTGTAAACTGGAGTGTTGTGGAGATAATTAAATAGGATAAACTGCTTAGAACCATATCTGACACATAATAAATGTTTTATATATCATTTTATCTTCATTATAATTATTATTCTGGTCAGCCTTCACTCACCCCCTTGAGAAGGTATGAAGCTGCCCATGCTGTATTTTTTAATGTAGAGACAAAGCAAAATGTTAGGTATAGAAAAAAGTCAATCCTTTTTGCCAGCAGTATTCCTTGTGCTTCAGGCAGGTGGTGTGGAATATATGTTGATGTCATTTGGTGAAGGTACTGTGAGCATGGCTACTGCTTAAATCTGGTCTCTGCTTACCCTAAACAATAGAAGGCTGACAGGAATGCAGAGATAGCTGGAGGGATGTGACCTGTGAGGGCATAGACCTGGTAAAAAAGAACTAAAATTTGAGGCAGAGGAACTGGATGTGACACAATTAGTCATAGGAAATGGGTCAAGAAGTAGAAAATTATAGCTCTTCCTTTTAATTGACTAAGAGCATTCCTATCCCTGAAACTATTTTTTTATTGAGTTGGAGTCTCACTCTGTTGCCCAGGCTAGAGTGCAGCGGCATGCTCACAGCCACTGCAGCCTCGACCTGCTGGGCTGAGGCGATCCTTCTGCCTCAGCTTTCCAATTAACTGGAACTACAGGTGTGTACCACCATGCCTGACTAATTTTTTGATTTATTGTAGAGACGAGGTCTCAACAGGTTGCCCAGGCTGGTCTCGAATCCCTGTATTCAAGCAAACCTCTTGCTTTGGCCTCCCAAAGTGCTGGGATTACGGTCTTGAGCCACGTCACCTGGCCTTCCCTGAAGCTATTACTGAGTTTGCAGTGACACAGATTTAAGTAAATTGAATATCAGGTTGATACTATTTGCATTTGGACGGGAATTGGGATGCTGCTTTTGAAAAGATAAGTCAGTTTTAGTTGTGCTATTTGCATGCCAGATACCTTCTCTTTTTGTGGCAGTTGAATTCTCCAGTCTGACTTGTTATTGCTCAACAATAGTGTCTAGCTAGTTGGTGAGTTTTAGGAGGCTATGGAAATGCTACTGTAGCATGCCGCTGACTAGTCAGTAAACCCTCTAGACTATGAGTACCAGGAAGGCAGGACTGTGCTGTACTAAACTGTATTTTCCTGGTGCCTAGTGCCTGTTACATAGTGGTAATACAATGAAAGTTTGAACTAGCCTTCCCTTAGAGATTTAGCCTTTCCCTTAGAGATTTAGTTCTTTCCCATTTTCTTTTAATAGCATTTGTTCCTTGGTACTTTTAGATTACTGTTTTCATCTCTTATCTCATTGTTTTTCTTTCTTTAGACACAAAAGAAATGTAACATTATTAGTTATACTAAAATCATGGAATTTTAGAGTTGCACTTTAGAGATAACTGGATCAATGCTGAGTATTCTGAGGCCAATAGGCCCCAAGTGACTTGTTAGCTTTGAGCTGTACTCATGATCTTACAGAGAAATAGTATCTGTCTTATATCACGCTTAGTTTCATAGAGAGTCAAACAGCCCAATTTTGAAGACACTCAGTCTGCATTTTGATTCTGTGGTCTGGATTTGTCAGAGAGGATTGGTTGCTTGGTGGTGATTATGAGGGTCATTGAGCTGAATTGCTGAGAAACACCTAATAGGTGTCAATGTGAATGGACTGAATTATATAGCATGGTCGTTAAGAGCTCTAACAGTGAGTAGAGTTTTAGTCTGAGTTGAATTCCAGCTCTACCACTCTATAGTTGCCTGACCAAGGGCAAATTACTTAACATTTCTTACCTTGCAGTTAGCTTATTGTAAAAGTGAGAGTGTGTGAAAGACTGTGTAGGGCAGTGGGTTAAGAGCCAGGATTCTGGGGCCAGACTGCCTGGGTTAGAATCTTGCTTCCTGTATTTACCAGGGCAAGTTATTTTCAACATTCTGTGGCCAATCTGTAAAATGAGGATGATAGTAATAGTGGCCTAATTTATAGAGTTGTTATAAGCATTAAATTAATACCTATAAAGTGTTTAGCATGATATCTGTACATAATGAGTGCTCAGTAAGTGCTAGCTATTTGTTACCATCTAAATTAAATTAAACTTCTGTTAAGGCTGCTGCCTAAGAAAAATAATTGGTTAAGAAAAACGCACACACAAATAATTGGTTAAGGAAAATGCACACAGATGTGTGTGTGTGTGTGTGTGTGTGTTCTTTATTTTATTTTATTTTAAGTAGGAATCTCACTCTTGTCGCCCAGTTGGAGTGCAGTGGCATGCTGCTCATGGCCACTGCTGCTGCTGCTGGCCACCGCAGCCTCCATCTGCTGAGCTCAGTTGATCCTTCCACCTCAGCCTTCTAAGTAGCTGAAACTATAGGCACGCACTATCATGTCCAGATAATTTTTTGATTTATTGTAGAGATGAGGTCTCACCAAGTTGCCCGGGCTGTTCTCGAACTCATAGGCTCAGGCAATCCTCTCACTTTGGCCTCCCAAAGTGCTGGGATTATAGGTGTGAATCACTGTGCCTGGCCTCTTTTTTTATTTTAAGATGTGGGGTACAAGTCAGGATTAGGTATCCAAATGGTCATTATGTCTCCCTTTGGTCCCAACTTTGCCTGGTTTGAGATCAGTTACCTTTATTGATGTTGTATGTCCCCCCACTCCTTTCCCTGAAAATATCATGCTATTGCCAATCCCTTTCTTATTCCTTTCTTATAGTATTATGGTAAATGTGCAGGGTCTGCTTATGAGTGAGAACATGTGGTACTCAGCTCTTTGTTTCTGTGATAGATCACTATTATAGACTAAAAAATTCATCCAAGTTGCTGTGAAGTCCATATGTTTGTCCTTCTTTATGACTGTGTAACATTCCATCATGTATATTTATCACTTTTTTTGTCCAGTCCAGTTTTGATGGGCAGCATGGTTAGTTCCATGTTTTTGCTATTGTGAATAGTGTTGCAATAAAAATGCGTGTACAGGTAGGTTATCTTTTTTTTAGAATGATTTGATTACCTCCGGGTATATTCCTAGTAACGGTATTCCTGGGTCATGGGGAAGGTCAATTTCTACTTCTTTTAGAAATCACTACTGCTTTCCATAAAGGTTGAACTAGTTTGCATTCCCACCAGCAATATAAAAGCATTCCCTTTTCTCCGCGTCCTCGCCAGCATCTGTGTTTTGTTTTATTAATGATGACCATTCCTACTGGGGTCAGGTGGTATCTCAGTGTAGTTTTGATTTGCCTTTCTCTGATGATTAGTGAAGCTGAGCACTTTTTCATGTGTCTGTTGGCTGCCCATATATCTTATTTTAAGAAGTGTCTATTCATATGGAAAATACCTTTTCAAAGTAAGTGAGCTCATACTTTCCACGGTAATCACTGTCAGTAATCACCAACAATGGGTGTCTGGTTCTGCTATTGTCAATAGTGCTGCAATAAAAATACGTGTACAGGTTATCTTTTTTTATAGAATGATTTGAGTACCTCCGGGTACTCTTTTTTCTTTCTTTTCTGCTTCAGACTTTTTTTTTTTTTTTTTGAGTTGGAGTCTCACTCTGTCACCCAGACTGGAGCTCCCGGCCACCGCAGCCTCGACCTGCTGGGCTCCGGCGATCCTTCTGCCTCAGCCTTCCAAGTAGCTGGAACTACAGGCGAGCACTACCACACCCAGCTAATTTTTTTTAAAAAATTTATTGTAGAGATGAGGTCTCACCAAATTGCCCAGGCGGGTCTTGAACATCCGGGTTCAGGCAATCCACTCACCTCAACCTCCCAAGGCACAGGATTACAGGCTGAGCCACCGAGCCCGGCTGCTTCAGACTTTTTAACAGTGAATATATTTTAATTTCATGAGCATCACTCCTCTTCCTTCCATACCAAGATAGTAAAGCACCTATTGTTTTGTTTGTCTTGTTCACTGTAGGAACATTTTTTGTTTGTTTGTTTTAAACAATACAGTTTTAATAGGCAGTGTAAGGTAATCCTTATTTTGCTGTTAAGGAAAGACAAAGCAATTTTGAAAAGGATCTCACTCAATAACAAAATGTATTCTAAGTCCCAATGTTACAAATATGGTAGTTCAAGCTAGATATTTTATTTCTGCAATTTTAGCCATAAAAGTGAAACTCTTCAGTAACAGGAAGCAATGAAAGGATACTTTAGTATAGTTGTAGATTTTCTATCTCCTGGGTTTAAAAGTATATATTTTAAAACAGGGTTGCTTATACATGTTTGTATTTTTCCATGCCGCTATGTCTGTATCTGTATCTGTGTGGAAGTGGGAAGGTAGTTAACGATTTTGAAAACCTTCAGCTTCTTGTGTATGTATATGTGTACGTATGTGTATTTGAATTTACTCTTTTCAGTTTTCAACCCTGGATAAAAATGTTCAACTTAGGCCGAGTGTGGTGGCTCGAGCCTGTAATCCCAGAATTTTGGGAGACCAAGGCAAGAGGATTGCCTGAGCTCAGGGGTTTGAGACCAGCCTGGGCAACTTGGTGAGACCTTGTCTCTACAATAAATCAAAAAATAAGCTGGACGTGGTAGCGCATGTCTGTAGTTCCAGCTACCTGGAAGGCTGTGATGAAAGGATCGCCTGAACCCAGCAGGTCGAGGCTACAGTGGCCGTGAGCGTGCCACTGCACTTCAGCCTGGGCAACAGAGTGAAACTCCAACTCAAAAAAAAAAAATTGTTCAGCTTATTTCAAAATTAACAGTGCCTTATAAGTATGACTTCTTTCCCAAGGGTACAGTCATCTTTTATAGCTTGAGCCAGAAATTCTGTAAATCTCTTCTATTAAATCAGTGCCTTTAAATAGAGAGAAAATGGAACTTTTCTGATGGAAGATGATCCATCTAGAAAGTTCTTTGCTAGGAAATTATCTGTGGGAAAAATTCAAAAAACAGGTTGAATTATTGTTGAAATCAGAATCCAATTTAAGCAGTTGTATATGTTGTAAATTGTATATGGTCCTTGCTAATCTAGTGGATTACACTTACAAATTTGATTTTATTTTGATAAGCATTGATAGTAAGCCAGAATTATGGAAATAAAAAATTACTTAATTTAATACATATTTGTTTTTAGTGTTATGTATAAATTGGTTTTAATTTGATTATTTTTAATTTTATATTTAGTATAATTTTGAAAATGCATCTCAGACATTTGATGATCTTCCAGCAAGATTTGGTTATAGACTTCCAGCTGAAGGTTTAAAGGTAAGAAAATAGTAATACATTGTGAAGACACAAGACACTTAATAATACCTATCTTTGTAAAAAAAAAAGTGACTTTTATTGTTCTTTATTATTTAAAGAATGAAAACATTTCTTACTATATGTTATCATAAAACCCATACATAGTCATTTATAAAAGGGCAGACTATTCAAAAGCTATGAAAAAGAAAATGAAAATCGCCTGTGACTGCATTATGAACAGCCACTGTTAACATTTTGGTATATAATATTTCAGACCTGTTTTTTAGGATATGTACTGTGTGTGTTTGTAAATGTACGTTCATATATATTTATGTAGATGCTTATACAATGACTGTATTTAACACTAATAGAAACATACTACTTTGTTACCTGACTTTTTCAGTTAACTGGATACCTAGATCATTGTTTTCAGGCTGATAGGCAAGGATCTACATTATTATTTGTAATGACTACATGATTTTGCAATATCATAAAATAGTATGGACTTTGAACATTGGTTTACTTTTCCATAGTAGATATGTAGGTTTTCCAGTTTTTACTATTGTAAATAAGCCTCAATATTCTCATCCTTGTGTATTCATCAATTTATTTCCAAAAGTTGCATTTCTAAATGTACGAGAACAAGTTGAATTGCTGTTTATGGAATACATGTTTAAAATTTTGTTCTGTATTTCCAGGTCTCCCCTCAGAAAGTTTGGGACAATTTAGAATTCTATCAGTAGTGCTTGAAACTGTCCTTTTTCCCCATACCCTCTCAAATATTAGTTACTATTAAATTTTTACTAATTTGATTTAAAAAATCTAATGAAGTTAAACATCTTAATGCTTTTTGCCGTGTGTGTGTGTCTGTGAGAGAGAGAGAGAGAGAGAGAGAGTTGACTATTAATGCTCTTTGTTCATTTTAACATTAAGATGTCCAGCTCTTAGTGATTTGTAAGTGTTTTTTATATATTGGCACGATTTTAGCATATATTGGCGTGATTAGTAATTCATAAGCATGCTTCATATATTGTATGCTTCAGATTATTTCCCTAATTTGTCCTTTATCTTTTAGTTATGTTTATATTTAAGGTTTTAGAAGTTTTTTTGAAAAAAATTATTTTTTGTAGAGATGAGGTCTTGCTGTGTTGCCTAGGCTGCTCTTGAACTTCTGGCTTTAAGTGTTCTTCCTGCCTTGGCCTCCCAAAGTGCTGGGATTACAGGCATAAGCTACCATACCTGACCAGAAGTTTTGTTTATATAGTTAAAAATTGTTGCTGGGTACAGTGGCCCATGCCTGTAATCTGAGCACTTTAGGAGATTGAGACAGGGGAATTGCTTGAGCCTAGGTGTTTGTGACAAGCCTAGGCAACACAGCAAGACTCAGCCTCTAAAAAAAAATGAAAAAATTAGCTGGGCATGATGACATGTGCCTATAGTTCTAGCTACTCAAGAGGCTGAGGCAGAAAGGTCTCCTAAACCCAGCAGGTCAGGGTTGCGGTGACCCTGATCATGCCATTGCAATCTAGCCTGGGTGACACAGTGAGACTATGACTCTGTAGGAAGTAAGGAAGGAAGGTAAAGAGGGAGGAAGGGAAGAAGCAAAAGGAAGAAAGTCAGGTTAAAGAAGGAAGGAAGGTAGGAAGGTTATCATCATCTTTTTCTTCTACCTTTGGGGTCTTTGTTCAAAAGTCCTTCCCCATTCCAAGATAATATGAAGTTTTTGTGTTACATAATTACAATACATAAAATTGTGTAGATCTGTACCACAGAATGTTTACAGTTTGTTCTAACTTAAAATTCTGTATTGAAGTTTCACAAACCTACTATTCTTTTTTTTTTTGAGTTGGAGTCTGACTCTGTCGCCCAGACTGGAGTGCAGTGGCCGCTCCTGGCCACTGCAGCCTCGACCTGCTGGGCTCCGGCGATCCTTCCGCCTCAGCCTTCCAAGTAGCTGGAATTACAGGCATGCGCTACCACGCCCGGCTGATTTTTTGATTTATTGTAGAGATGAGGTCTCGCTGCCCAGGCAGGTCTCGAACCCGCGGGCTCAGGCAATCCACTCACCTCAGTCTCCCAAAGGCGCGGGATTACAGGCTGAGCCACCAAGCCTGGCTAAACCTACTATTCTTACATAGGATGGCAGGCACCTCTGGGATGGGCAAATCAGCTAGTAATTTTTTTTTTGAGTTGAAGTCTCACTCTATTGCCCAGGCTACTGTGCCATGGCACGCTCATGGCTACCGCAGCCTCAACCTGCTGGGCTTAAGCAATCCTTCCAACTCAGCCTTCCAAGTAGCCGGAACTATAGGCACGCACTTCCATGCCCAGCCTATTTTTTGATTTACTGTGGAGACGAGGTCTCTCCAAGTTGCCCAGGCTGGTCTCAAACCCCCGGGCTCAGGCAATCCTCTTGCCTCGGCCTCCCAAAGTGCTGAGTTTACAGGCTGAGCCACCGCGCCCAGCCAGCTATTAATTTTTAAACATATCTTAAATTATTAAAAAAATTCTCATCATTGTATGACTGTTTCTCATTGTATAAATATTTAAACAGAGAAGAAGTGCACCTAGAAAAAGAAAACAACTTCTTTTGCTTTTTCCTTACCTATAAACACAAGTTGCATGTGTAGGTCTCAGTTAAATATCAGTGATTTTATAGGCCTTAAGATCCTTTCTGAACATGCAGTGCGCTGTAAATCTTTTTTTTTTTTTTTTTTTTTTATTGAGTTGGCGTCTCACTCTGTCAGCCCAGGCTGGAGTGCAGTGGCATGCTCACAGCCACCGCAGCCTCGACCTGCTGGGCTTAGGTGGTCCTTCTGCCTGAGCCTTCCAAGTAGCTGGAACTACAGGTGCATGCCACCATGCCCAGCTAATTTTTTGATTTATTGTGGAGATGAGGTCTTGCCAAGTTGCCCAGGCTGATCTCGAACCTATGGGCTCAGGCAGTCCTCTCACCTCGGCCTCCCAAAGTGCTAGGATTATAGACATGAGCCACTGTGCCCAACCTGTAATTCTTTTTTATTCATAAATTTATGAACTTATAAAGTTCATAAGATGGTGGCCATTTGTGTATATGAAAGATTCCTTAATTCTTGTAATGAGAGACACTCTACCTATAAATCCAAGAAAGGGATTTATAAGGGGATAAAGATGTTCAGAATATCCTAGTCTGGAGAAGCAGTTTCCAAACTGCTTTTGGAGTAAAACGAGAACCACCTTGCAGGATTGACTTCATAGAGGATTGATGCACTGGACTCTCAAACTGTATACTTTTTCTCTCATCCTGAAAGAACCTCTGTGGTTTCACCTCAGAACGTTCTGCCTCTACTGCCACTCAAGCTAATCAAAAAGATGTTCTTTGCCAGACTGTTCCCTCATATGGTTGCTTCCAAATCCAATCCCTGGGCTAGAGGCACCAGGGCTTTTGGGATTAGAAGGTTGCCAAACTTTCAAATCCAACACCTAGATTTTTCTGATTGACCGACTAGGCCACAGTTTGGTGAATTACCTGGCTATGAGGGAAGCTAGGAAATCAGTTTTTGTTGTTGTTGTTACAGTCTTCTGTGGGATTCATAGTGGGGTTAGGAAATTTGGAGTCCCATGTCTGACAGATATCTACTGGAATCACTCTGCAATTTGATTCCCCTGCCTCCCCCATGACTTAGAGATCTTTCTCTAGCAGCACCTATAGATCTAGCATGCTCCTGCTAAGTAAGCACGGCATGGGATTCTGTAATATGACTGGTCATAGTTTATTATTCCTTTCCTAACACAGATATTTGGGTTTCTTATCCAAAGATGTTATTTCACTAGGGTAGAGGTCTGGCAATAGAATTGAAGAATCAAATTTTCATAGATACTGCCAAATTGTTTTTCCAAAGGCTGTACTAATTTATTCCCATTAACACTGTATGACAATACTCATTTCCTTCTAGCCTTGACAACACTGGATAGTACTGGTCTTCTTAACTCTTGCCAATCTGATGGGCAAAAGTATTATCTTGTTTTAATTTGCATTTCTGTGATTCCCAGTGATTCTGAGCTGGCAATCTTTTTTCATTCTAGCATAAAGAGTCAAACTATTCCTTCTCACTGAAGAGCTTTTCTTCTGAGTAAGCGTGTTTTAAAGAGTTCCATTCACTCATTTTTTAATTTTAATTTTATTTTTTTTAATTGGAGTCTCACTCTGTTGCCTAGGCTGGAGTGCGGTGGCATGCTCAAGGCCTCCACAGCCTTGGCCTGCTGGGCTCAGGCGATCCTTCCACCTCAGCCTTCCAAGTATCTGGAACTACAGGCACACGCCACCAGGCCCGGCTAATTTTTTGATTTATTGTAGAGATGAGGTCTTGCCAAATTGCCCAGGCTGGTCTCAAGCCCATGGGCTCAGGCAGTCCTCTCACCTCGGCCTCCCAAAGTGCTGGGATTATAGGAGTGAGCCACTGCGCCTGGCCTCCATTCACTCTTGATAACCATAGTCTCATTGGTGTTTCTCTGTTACTGTGTTACTGTAAATTTGGTTTACTAGTTTTGTTTGTTTGTTTGATTTAATTTTTTTTTAAGAGATGGGATTTCACTTTGTTGCCCAGGCTGTTCTCGAATTCCTTGACTCAAGTGGTCCTTCCACCTTGGCCTCCCAAAGTACTGGGAATGCACCTGGCCTTGGTTTACAATTAAAAGATATTTTGAAATATGTGTTTACTTACTGCCTAATGAAAAATGGTGTTAAGTATCTGCAAATTTAGATGTGAAATATTGTAATGGTAAAGACAGAAAGTTCTAAAAAATTGTTGGATTATTATGAATAACTTCTATAGTTAGTTACCTGACTGGTTTTGTCATTGCCTAGAATCAGAATTAAAAATTACAACCTATCCATTGTTTCCAAAGAGGACTTGATGATAATTAAGTGGGCTTACGATAGTGTAATGTTTATAAAACCATTTAAGTAAACATGTTAAAAATATAATCAAGTTAATTTTAATATTCAATATGGTTATTAAGAGACTTAGTTGAGAAATATT